ACAGCGATTTGGCAAATGGGCGAATTAATTATTGATCTAACGACTTTGAGACTGGAGGCACACAAACATGTCTGGTTCTGTAGTTTCCTGTTATGCCGTCGTGTGGTTCCTTCTCCTCTTGCTGTGCCCCGTTTTCCTGGCTGAGCGTCACATACGTCATAACTACTTTTGGATCATATTTTAGCGGTTTTTAAATGACCTTTTGAAGACTCAGCAGTAAACAAAGCAATCTATTAAACACACCAACTAAGACTTTGTCATTTATTTTGCTTCAAGTTTGGTCAGTAATTTCCCAGAATGTGTGTGAACGTGTTCCAGCCGGGGGAGTGAACTCATTCCGTGTGGCTGTGGGTTTGTACATGCATGTGGGGAGAGAGGATCAAGTTAGAGAGAACACGGTTTCCCAGGTGGTTAAAACTGACATGTGTTCCCTTTAATTAGTTTGCGACGTGTGCTGTGGCTGCAATGCATTGTGGTCTGATGACGCAGTGAGTGGAGAAGTTGGCATTGAGTTAAAGCATCTCAAATCCGACTCTTATGCCTTATATTAAATGAGATTTTAACAAAGTGAGTCAGAAAAGTCTTCCAATGACGCTGACTATACTGAATCTCATTTTTTGTAAACCGAGGAAGTTCGACCGTTGGATATATCAAGGATTAGAGGTGAATCGCTCACAACAGCAAAATACTTTCAGCTGAAACATTAGACTGCAGATGTCTGAAGGTGTCTGGGGGGGAAAAACGCTGTTTAATTATACTGTTGGTCGCCCAATGTTTTCTTGAGCTGAAAGAAGTGCCTCTGAAAGTGTGTGTCGACTGGAGGCCGTAAAGGATCCCATCACTGTTCGTATGCACGTCCCCCACCACCGATGCGCTGCTCGTTTCATTTCTACGCTGCCCAGAAATTAGTCGTGCTGTGATCTTTTCCCTGCGCGCTGTACCTCTGCTTTTCTGCTGCCTGTCTCACATGCAGCATGTTTAACACGAAATACATGCAGTGATTTGTTTGTCAAACCCGGCCTGAGGTGACAAAAGCCGACTGCTGTAATTGATCGTCTATTGAACAGTCTCTTGAGCAGGTGGACTCATCTCTAATAACAAGAGTTATCGGTATTGGATTCAGAGGAGATTATGTGGGATCATTCATTGCATTGTTTGAAACCAGCTTCATTTGTACTGTACTGCTATCTGCTTTATGATGGAGGCTTGTTTCAAAGTTTAATTTGCAGCCAGTTATTGTGCGAGGAAGCCTGAGCACTGCTCCTGCCAACAAAACGGGTGTAGTTTGTGGAAGGGGTTATTTAAGGTGGAGGAGGAGGAGAAGATGGAAAACGAGAAAGCGGAGATGAATCTGTTTTGTAAACAGGGAATCCGTTTTCCCGAGAGGTCAGAGCAGGAGGCTCGGCCTGTCACGACAAGATGGATGCCGGCGGATGTTTCTGGGGATGGAATGCGACGCAGAGGAGGAGGACGACGGGTTGGCTGTGACTCTGGAGGCAGAGAGGTCAGCTTTGTGGACGGAGTCCGTCGTCTGCAGAGCTCAAAGCTTCCTCCCCGTATAGCTGGTTCCTCCTGATAGTCCGATAAGATTAGATGATGCAATGATTTAGCCAGCGACGCGTCCTGTGGATGAGATGGAGACAAAGAACTGACTATGATACAACTACAATAACTGCACATTGACAATCATGCAGGAAATGCAAATATCAGGCTTCTTAATTTCAAGATGGGATTGAACAAATTTGATTTTGTACTTTTTCTGAAATCCAAGCCGGTAGAAAGGAAAACGCACACTAACGAAAGCATCATTTTGAAATCAACTAAACTGATCTTTAAAGAGAAGATTCAATTTGCTTCATTTTAAAATAGTTTTCAAATTTGGTGCAATTGGATTTAGATTATTTTTTCTCCTTATTTTCACTCTAATCTTCAATATTAAGTGTGTCCTGTGAACAGAAAATCATGAATATTACATCAGATCCTCCATCAAAGTGTAAGTGAAATCCAGACGGGGCCCCTTTCAGAGGGGAAAATGAGTACGAGCGGCTGTGTGAGTGAGGCTGTGACTGGCAGCGTGTCCGTCAGCGTTCAATCCACCAAATCAGGAACTTCTTCCATTAATCCTGTCCGTCATCAGTCTACCAGAACCTGAGCACTTTAATCATTCATGTTATAATGGACCTGGGTAAAAAATACATGAGGGTTTCTACTTCCATATTAGTTCAGCAGATAAACAGATTCCCGGTTAATCGAACTGCTGCCATTTTCTAAGCCAAAGGGCTTTTTATAGCCCTGTTTACGTAAAACCTAAAATTGCATGAGTTTGCATGAGTTTGCATGAATTGCTTGAAGGCTGAACGTAGTTAATGTGCACAGGGTTCCTTGGATGCTCGCATGGGGTTTTTTCCTGTTAACTTGTTGTTTTCTTCTCCGTTGAGAGTTTTTTTTCAGCTTGATTCCTCAAAACTTTGGATACTGATTTGACAATCTCAACTCAACGTCTCCATCAGTAAGTGTTGGCTTGAAGTAATGGAGCTCACGACTGCTGCTTGGCAGAGGAGAGACGAAATCCCGACAGAGGGGGGCGTTTGGAGCAGATTTGGCCCATTACCAGTACACAATGGAAAGCGTAATCATAATTGCCCTGTGAGTCCTCATTAGTCCTTATTAAGATGGAGAAAATGACCCCCAAGTGACGACTATCCACTTGTTCGCTGTAGCTGTTGATAATATTCAGTTTAAGAGAGAGAACAGTGATTATTATTATATCTCTACATTGTGTTCAGCTATCTTTCAATGTGAAGATGATTGCGTTGATGAGACGTTGGAGTACAGATGTTTTTCATGTGGTGAAGGTCAGCTGACCTGCTAGTTCTCCTGATGCACAGACAATCCTTTACTTATGAGTCCTGTCGTTGCAAATCGAACATCTAAAAAAACGTCATTTAAACCCAATATAATTTTTTTATATTTTAAAATATATATTTATATATATTATGTATATATATAATATATATATTATATATTATATTTAATAATATTTTAAAATACACATGTTCAAACACAGTAACGTAATAGGAAAAAAACGTTTAAACACCAAGGTTCCTTGTAAGGTAGCTTTTGCCGTGTGGTGAGGGTTGCAGCAGGTTGCGTTATCATTGTAGTGGATTCAGCTGCTTGTTCATGAGTGGGAGTGAGAGAGTCTGGTTTTCTAAACCTAAAATGATTCTTTTCCCCGCTGTGTTTCTCCTGAGACTCTCTGCACGCGGCCGAAGTGAAGGGATTACGTGTGACTAAACTACTGAACGTTAACAACAAATGCAAACTGCGAGTTTGGAGGGACACGCACTGAAAATAACCCTCCCGATTTCCAAAATGATGCAGAAAGAAGAAAGTCGGCGTTAATGAACGATCATTTTTGCAAAAGACCTCTGGCGTATTTGCACTTAAAAGACAAAACACCAAACCGCACTCTGTAACCTGCTTTTACAGTTTCACAGAGAAGGTAAACTGAGTGCAGCAGTTCTCTTGAGTTTCTTCGGCCTTCACATTATCACTGATTAAAGATTCTTTTGTTCAGGAAATGAATCTCCTGAATCTTAAATGTTGTCTTTCAAAAGTAACTGAAAACCGCTTCTCCAGTGCACACAGGACTCATTATTACAATTAATATTAATACTAACAACTAATACGTTATTGTATATTATACTGTTTTGTGATTTGCTGTCCCACAGTCCGATTCACTAACTTTGATATGCTTGTTGATATTTGTTCCTCATGTTTTAAACTTACTGGTGGCTCCAACTGTATCTTTAGTATTTATGTAATGAAACTAGGACCCGGCTGCTGTTTCAGTGGCTTTAAAAACCTTTCATCAGGTTAATACTTGATTCAATTTACAGCGATTGCTGCGATTCGAACTAAACGCGCGGCAGACGGTGCTTAATCGCGCATGGCGCCGCCTGACTGGAAGGTCTTTATTGGAATATGTCCGATGCTGCAGTTGCAGAGCGGGCGGATGAAAGAATCACTTTAATTGTAACGCTTCAGTGGGCAAGAAAATCCAGCTGTTTTGTCAAACTAAATCCCAGCAGAGTACTCTGTCCCGTCTCCACCAGTTGGGAGGACACACATTAAAGGGATAGTCTGGTTGTTTTGAAGCGAGGTACCTTCTCCTATGGGTGCATTACAATGTCCATCCAGTAGGAAGCAATGGGGAGGAATATGTGGACTGGATGTTTCCCTGCATGATGCTGCCTGTAAAGTCCATGTAGTTTGTTCTCTCTGTTTTCTTCTATCTCCTTGAAGTTGCATTAAATACCCTCAGTGGCACGTTGATGCATGATCCAACCTGTCCACTGGCCTCCGGCTAATGTGCTACTGTACATCTCCTGATTGGCTCAGTAAGTGAAGTGCTTGCATATGAAGTGACGGTGCACTTGGCTGCTCCACCCTAGTTTGATCTGATTCTAATTGCTGATATTTTTCCTACATTTATCTGGCCAAGATGTCCTCTGACTTGTCTCACTACAGTAACACACGAATCGGCTGCATTTTAAACTCGCAGTGCAATGATCTGCATCTCTGGTGGTCCAATTACCTGAAATCTGATATTTTTGTCTCATTAAATGCCTTCCGAGAAACATTTCTCTCCAAGAGGTAAGCTCGTTTATCTTGAGTGGACTGAAATTTCCCTGAGCTCTCCTTTCATATTTTGCGGTTTCTGCATCCTGCATTTTGGTCAACCGCTTCATTTGTATTTATGAGCATGTTGCATTAGAAATGCCTCACCTTTTTTTTTTTTTTTTTTTTTTTTTTTTTACATTCTGTGATCATTACATACGATATTATTCCACTGGCATCCCAATGACTGAAACGCGCTGTGCTGATATGACATCAGTCTGTTTGGAGCAGAGCTGCAGAGCGACGTGGTCCCATTTGTATTGTCTGGTATTCACCTCGTCTGTCTTTCTGTCTCGCGTTTCCCTCCTTTCTCACAGTTGATCAAAGTATGTTTGAGAACTCCGTTGCCCAGCAGTCCAGTCCTCAGACCTCGAGGTCGGGCCAGCCCTCCACCCGACGCCCCCCGGCATCAGCCAATCACAGCCTGGGGTCCGGCGCTGTCGACTCCCCATCCTCTGGAGGCCAACAGAGGCTTAAAAATGCCATTAACCTGGGAAAGGCTGTCGGGGCAAAGGTCAGCGCAGTTCAAGCAGGAAGTTGTCGTCTTCTGCTCTCCATTATTTGGGGTTGCGATGTAAATTCCATTTCTTCAATGTCGCAACGGTGGAGTAGACTTCCGTCTTTCTTTGTCTTTTTTCGTAGGTGAATGACTTGTTAAGGAGGAAAGAGCCCAGTCACCTCGGGGACATCGGGGTCACAGAGGTCAACAAGAACGTGGATGCCGTGTGGAGCAGTCTGGACCAACTCCACCAGTCCTCTGCAAACAGGTACACACACACACACACACCTTTTGACTTGATCCGTTAGAATTTATCTTCTTCTAAAGATCATTTTGAATTAATTTGCAAACTTGTGCCTCAAAGGTTGCTGGTTTGATGCAGTCTGATCAAATGTTTCCTTTTTTAGCGCTTCTGTATAAAGGTTCAAACTCACAGAACTTTTGACGAACACATTATCGTATCGTAGGCAAAACTTTTGAATTACCTCTTCTGAGAGAAGTGTCTATCAATGCGTCGTATAGCCGGCAGCAAGGGTGAATGATTTAAGATTTTTCCCGTGAAGTGGGGGTTTAAATGAATAATGACACATTAAAATGTCCTGTGAGACGTCTGAAATTGAATAAGATTGAATTTTTCAGCCTCTTATTCAGTCAAAATGGAAATTCCATTTAATTATGTATTCCTCCCACTCATACATGGCAGGTTGTTTCTGTGTGTCTGCACCGGGGATTAGTTCTGGAAAGCATCGATCTGTTATGTGTCCAGAAGATCAAAGTCATTTCCGGCACATCTGCTCCCAGATGTGGACGCTGATGAGTTGAGGTTTCATTTTACTGGGGCCGATTGGTCTGTAGCCGACTGCTGGAAGCTGTGGACTCACGTTCAGAACAATCGGGAGAGAAAGGATACTTTTATTTAGACAATGTCCCCTGTGTCCTCCACGGAGGAGGTGTTTGTCCCGGTGAGGAGCTCTGCAAACGTCTCCTTCCACCGCTCAACAATGGTCCCAATGGTCTGTGGTTCTCCTGAGCCCCCCCCCCTCCCCCGAGCTCCTCCCACAACCATACTCAATTTTGACTTGTTTTTAACTTATTGCCTGTGTTCCTCTCCTCCAGTCACATCTCCTCTTTTGACTCCTTCCCCCGGCTGGACCCACCACCCCCGTCGGGGAAGAAGCGCCTCCCCAGGGCGCTGAAGACCACCCAGGACATGATGATCTCCTCTGATCCGGTGGTCGCCTCTCCGGACCCCGCTGACTCTTCCTCCTTCCTTTCTTCTCCCGACAAGACGCCCCTCATCGCCAAGGAGGAGCTGAGGAACAACGAGGAGCAGCCGCGGGGCCGCAGGGAGGAGGAGGAGGAGGAGGACGGATCAGAGGAGCTCACGTTGCCCCCAAGCCCGGCGGAGAAGAAACGTGTCGCTGATTGCTGGGAGACAACGGGAGGCGACGGCGGAGCCGCTGAGGTGACGGGCGAGGGGGAACCTGTGGTGGGGGGCGAAGAGGAGCATCAGCCGCAGCTGTCCGTGCCGGACCTCATCAACAAGGAGACCCCCCCGGAGGCCGGGGGGAGGCCCCGCGACGTCTGGCAGAGGGCAGAGGGGTCGCGCTCCCGGCTGGCCTCCACCCCCTGCCCCGACAAGACGCCCTGCCGCGTCAGCCTGGGCGAGGAGGTCCTTCTGGGCAACGGCGCCCCCTGCAGTAAAAGCGTCGGGGTGAGCGCCGGGGAGTCCGAGTCGCACCCGGACCTGCTAATGTTTGAGTAGCGGGTCACACTCGCAGCCCAGTACGCCGCAGAAAGGTCAAATCGGTTGCTCTGAATTTCAACTGGAGGGGCAGAAAGGGTCATTCGAACCGACTCAGAAGGATTCAATATTCACGGCCACTTTTCCATGTTTAACTCTCCCACGCTTTAAGAAAAGGGAACAAGGGCTTGTGTGAATGCGTTTAGATGTGCCGACAGAGAGACACTACCAGCTTCTCCCTGATGACGGGAGCACAGAGCCGGAAGCAGGAGGTGTGGGGTCATTATGGTGCAGTGAGAATTAAATATTAACATGTCAAACATAGAACGTCACTATTGAGCAATATCATTTTATCATCACCGTCTATTTATCATCTTAAGCTCGTTTTCTAACATATTTGCTTTAGTAATGCAGTAATACCAAATAATGATTCATAATGATGAATGTAATCGGGGTGATGAAAATGTCCTTTTAAATGGGCTAAAAGTGTAAAATCCTTTCAAACAAAAACTGCCGATCATAAAAACAGCTTTGTAAATCATTCTTGCTGAAAAGTCAGATTTTTTTAAATCTTTTAAAAAAAAATGGATGAGTTCTATTATTTATCAGCATTAAGTTATTATCATGACATTCTTTTTTTACATTTAAAAGGGTATTTGTGGTCACTGTAGTCCATAATATACAAAAGCTGCCACAATGAAACCAATTACAAACCGCAGCTGATATGTGTTCATCGTCATGTCATTTGCATTTAATTTAATTAATTTTGTCAGTTTAATCCTTTTTCCAGTATGGACAAATGGTGGAATGGCAGGAAACGGGAGGGAGCTGCTGAGGGCGTGAGGACGTGTTGGAGGTGGGCGGGTTCTGGGGGAGTTTACTTGCCTTTTGACCCGCAGCTTCATTTATATTACAGCATTTCTGTCCCATTTGCGGCCCATTAAGAGTCCTAGAGCTTGTGTCTCTGGCATGGACTGTGTCCCTCAAGGGGACCTTTCAACGCTGCGCCAGCAGGGAACAAATGCCACAACATATAGATTATTATAGATCATTATTTTCTTTTGTTTTTGCCGAAAATATCAGACATATAGAGGCTTTACTCCTCCACCCAGATAGTGTTAGAGATTTGCAACAGTAAATATTGGCCAATCTTTAATGTTTGAATCGGTAGATATATAAGACAGAACTGAGTTGTTGTTGTTTGCGTGTCTGTATTTCGGGTCGAAGAGGAGAATTGCTTCCAGTCTTCCTTCCTGCCGACATCGAGACGGACGGACGGGCGGCGTGTTGTTTTCTATCAAAAGAGAAAAGAGAATATAACGAGCTGTCAACCGCGACAGATGAAAGGTGTATTTTATTCGAGCAGATCATTTAGTGACAGACCAAAGACAGGAATTAGCAGCTCAGCCAGAACGTGTTCTTTGTGGGGGGAAAAAGAAGCAATATTTTAGTATTTCTTTTAGTTTCCATTCTACGATTACGAAACAAAATGTAAAACCAAAGTTGCGACGTTTTCAACAATTCGATAGCGATTCACGTGCATGTTTAAGACTTTCCTGACTCCATCAGATGTGTCCAGCTGCTCAAAGGCGAGCCGAGTTCACACGCGTGTGCCTCACCATTGTTTGGCTGACAGATCGGGCTGGAAATCTGCTTTTATTACACCATTAACTGAACATCTGGCGCACATGAAAAGCAGCCTTCCAGATTCCAAATCCAGACCCTAAAAATAACCCCGTTTTCAAAAAGAGCTCAACAGGCGGCATCTGTAAGTGACCACTGGACCGCTTGACTTAAAAAAAGGACACAGACTCTGGACCAGCTGTAGTTTCTGTCGGCTCGCGTCCGGCAGAATGAGAGGAATGTGGAGTCGGCGCGTTAGAGAAAGGACGCTTTGTCTCCCTCAGTCTGTCTCCCGTCGCTCTCGTGTTCCTCACATACCGCAAACGTCCCCATTGATTTTCTTCTTCTTTTTTTTTTATGCGGAAGCTTTAACAGCTGGCATCCACACAACAAACCAAATTGCCCAAAAATAATTCCCCCAGATGTTTTAATCGAGGGGTCCTCAGACCTTTCTGTGCACTTTAGTGGCGCGTTGCTGTCGTTGACGTGAAGTTTTGATTGGGTCTCGATGCAGTGAGGTCTGTGTGCGCACACACACACACACACACACACACGTGCTGCTGTTTAATCTTTCAAATGTCATATCTCCTCTGGGTCGCGGCGGCAGATGTTCCAGCTGTGTCTTTGCTGAGGGAGACAAAGTGTGAATATTTTGAGGTTTGGGCAAACTGACCTTACGTGAAAATGAAAGCCGTGAAGAAACCAAAAGTAGAGACCTAAACTAAATGATCTGATACTGATAATCATTGGGAGTTAAAAATGATACATATAAACATTTCATCTTTTCGATTACTAAGTCATTTGTACATCTTAAATTTCTTAATGATCTGGTTTAAAATGTTTTCATAAAAAGAAGCACAAATAACATGAAATATTAACTAATGAAAACAATTAAAGTATAAAAGGTTTGGTCCAATTACCCAGTGCTTGAAAATAAAAAAAATCATTACCTAAGTCCATTTTAAAGCAGTGATGCAAAAATATGCGAATCAGTCATTTTAATCTTGGCTCATTCTTAAACACGGTGGTCATTCAGATTCTACACACCTATATAACCAGGTATCAAGGGAGGTTTCTGACGCCCGCTGCTTATATTTAGTCTGCTGCTAAAAGCATCAGAGGAGATGAATCGTTGCTCAGACGCCGTCAGACTTTCTTCCTTTCAGCAAAGAAAAGAGGCCAAATGCATTTTGAGGCAATCCGAGCAGCTCGATCTAGTCAGCTCGCATCCTTTGAAACCACTAAAGTAGATTTATATTGTATTTTCTGATGAAGGAACAGTGTTGTACATTCTGTGGAAATATTCTATTGCTTTTTCTTTTTTACAATCTCTGTGAATATGCAAATCGGGTCTTGCTCTAACAAATGAAGGAAAGTGATTTATTTTGATATTCAGTCATAAGTAGGTATTGCAATCCATTATATAGTGGCCTCAATTCATTTGGCAAATGAAAGAAATAAGGTCCTGCTTTCTATCTGTGGTGTTGTTGAATGTTTTGTGTCTGTGAAGCTGTGGTGGATGAAGGAAGCTGAACGCTGCACACGACGGCTTTTTGAAAGCAAACCTGGGACTTTCTGTCGATTTGATTCTCTAAAAGTGCTGCAAATTAAATCTCTAGCTTTGTATCCATGATGCGGATATGCTACAGAAATTGAAGCGAATCAATATTTGTTTTACTTTTATTTACCTGATGTATCTTTTTTTTTAAGTGGGGATGCAATAACTCCTATAACGAATGTAATCATTTTAAACAAGAAATAGACCTAATTGTGACCCATTGGTTTTGTGTTGTATGTTATGTGTCTTTTTTTAAAGATTGACCTCACTTTTTTTCTGTGTGGAAAACGGTTGTCTTTATTTATTCGGGGCACATCCTGTCTGCGTTTCCTTTGTCTTGTTCCTGCATGCAGACTCCCACTCAGCCCCAACCGCACACTTCCTGTTTTGAGGGAGTGGAATCTGTCCGTCTTCAGTGTAGTTGGACCCTCGTGTGTCCTTCCTCTGTTTGATGGAGCGTCAGTTTTTAGGGAACCAAACACACACACACACACACAGAGTGACGACGGCGGGGATTCAGGCGCCGCTCTTATGTTTAATTCATCCGTGTTTGTCCTCATTCACGGGAATCTTGGCCGTCTCCGCGTGTCGCCGGCCTCGCGTCTGTAGTTGTGTTTGAGACGAAGCCCGTCGGGAATAAGATGGAAGAATCCGAGAATGGAGACGAGTGTTTGAGGCTGTTTTATTAGCTTCCACGTCGGTGGTGCAAACAGCCAATCAGCTAAGACACGCGCGTCTCACCACTGCTCAATAATTCAAACGTGATGCAGTTATTCATTGTTCACGAAGGAATCTGGGCGTCTTCGCATATCATAATACTTCAAGAGTTGGGCACAGTTGGTGTGTATGAAGTCTACGCAGACTAACAAATACAACTTTCTGTATGCAGGCGAGGTTTAAAAGGACATTCAAGAGAGTTTGGTAATGACTACAGGTCGAGACTTGCGGCGATTAATAGAATAAAATAGTCTGACCGAAGGAGCTCCAAGGAGCCTGGAGGCTTCGTTTCCCATGATGCAGCTCAACAGCACCTTTTTGAATAGACCCACAAAGTCCTCGCCTCCCGTTTATGACACAACCACAGAAAATCAGTTTTCAAGCCCAAACCATGATGATAATGGGTGATTGAGTTGAAGGAGTCTCGGTGCTGCTGTCCAGGTGTTTTCTGGGTAATGGGCCCAGTAACACCCAGATTTTAAATTGCAGCAAAAGTTTGATTTCATATATTTGGGGTAAAACTTTAAGAGGACTCAATCAAATTGTGCAGCGGTTCCATTTAATTTCATCTAATGTCATGTTTTAGAGAAACCTATTGGTCTGTGAAGATGTATCCTAACTTTATCTTTTTTTTATAGTTTTGAATATTTTAAACTTTTTAGAAGTATACTTTTCACAGTATAGCGCTGCTCAGTAAGTCCTCCAATCGGCTTCCAGCAAGGACGCGAGGCGAGCGATCAGTCCAGCGGTTTTACTGCACAGAAGAACAGTGGAAAGGTTTCTATGATTAGATGTGCGACAGACATCAGTGCTGCAACTTCTCCAAACAGGTTCCTCTGTGGAAGTTAAGGTCCAAAAACACTTGGAGGTGACCTGCGAGATACTTTGTGTGGCGTAAGTACATTCTTATTCATGCTCCACGTCCTCAGGATATTTATAAGAGACCAAGCTGAGTCAAATCAGCCCAGCGCTTCACCGGGTCCTTGTTTTCAGAGCGTCGGGAAAATGAATAATTCCATGTTTTTTTGTGGCCGCAAAAAGAAAATCAGCCACTTATTGAGTGCGAGGCGGACTGTTATGTAATGTATATTTAGTACACGCTATAACCGCCTGCCCCCTCTTTCTCTCTGCAGGCCTATGGACGTGTTCTCTGCTAATATAGCTTATTAGCTCTTATCTCTTCTTAAACTCACATTTTGCGCAACGCTGAAGGCGGCTGCACATTGGAGACTCGCAGGGAGCCTCGTGTGAGGAAAAGGTGTCTGCTCAGCGTGCTTTCTCCTCTCAGGGCTCCCGAGGAGAACAACCTACTGAAGGAATGCAGCGAGGCCATCGGAGATCTGATCGCTGTGCGCTTGTTAACCCGAGCTGAGAGCAGGAAAGTTAGTGGATTCTTTTCTTTTTGCTTTCCAATGCTGACGTTATTTGTTCAGATCCTGTGGAAGTGTCAGATGTTTTTTTTTTTCCTTTCCTCTTCCTGCTCTTCTCGTCCTGTCTGCCTCTCTTTGTCTCTCACACAGTAATTGCTCCTCTCTCACAGACAGTGTTCCTGTCTTACTTTGGCTTTTGAGGGGGGGTTTTGTTCACACGTGAATGAACAAGACGCAGTTGTGAGTGTTTTAGAAAAAAGGGGATGCTCTGTAAATCTCATTTACAGCCTCCTGCGTCCTTACCTCGTCCATCTATCTGTCCGTCCACATGTCACGCAGCCTCTCGGAGCCCAGACGGGGCGTCCTGTATGGGAGGAGGCTGTCAAAAGAAAGCCCCCTAAACAGGAAAGGAGCGTTGGGACGTGCAGACAGGCCGTCAACGGGGGCCTGATGTGTTCAATGGAGGAGCCACAGGCGCTGTGCTGCAAACACGGTTACTTTAACGGGCCAATAAATCCAGAAAGCTGTTAGTTTAGTATGATTGCTTCCAAAGCAAATCAACGTCTTTTTTTGACTTGTGATTTCTACAGAGGGAGAATGGCTCATTTTCTGTTCGGGCAAGATGCCTGAATTACACTAAATGCAGTCCTCTTATTTCCATCAGCCTGGTTTCCCCTGGGGAGAGGAGTTAAAATAACCGAGTGCCTCACAAAGGTATCCAATAAAAAAAGCAGCACAGTCAGTTAATTCACTGCTGGAGCTGCTTTCATAGAGCAGACTCACACACCAGATTAGATCTCTTCTCTCTTCATGTTAAATACGCTATCGTTAAACTTTTTAAAATGTTATATGTAAAGTTTATTACTCAAACATGTTAAACATTCATTGAAAAAAAACATTTCATGTTCAATAGAGAAGTGTAGTGAACTGTTGGTCTAATATTGCCAACCACTCCCCTCTCCTTTATTACAACATACGGCACATTCCTCCATTGTAAATGAATAGTTTGAAAGATGTTATTTGAAACCTTTTCCTTTAGTTTACTACAACCTGTACATACCTTCCTCTATAATAGAACACTTGCCACTAGTCGGTCATACTCTGGTAAACGGCGCCATCTCGTGGGCAGCTGCCGCCATTACAACGTTAATTCCCTCCCACGCAGATGTGCAATGTGTTGAGTGATTAGTTCTGGCAGATCTTGACTTTAACTCTTGAATGAAGTGTGACGTACTGGACATCATGGTGTGGTCATGTGACAACTAATGTCAATTAGGTTAAATTAGTCCAACGTATTGACAGACGTTCTATTTTTGTTTTTTCAGTATGGATAAAACTAGTCGATAGTGTTCATGGTGCACTGTTAATCCTTCATAATGTTATCTTTGGCTCTTGGGAGTAATGTTATATATTTATATAGTGTTATGTGGTCCAGTCTGTTTTACACCCCTTATCATTGAGGAAGAAATTGCTTTGTTTTTTTCTTGACTAAACAGATGCAAGGCACACAAACTAATATTAACGACATTATCCGTTTATTTATTATGAGGATTAGCTGCACAGATGTTTAGTGGCTCGCAGTCTTTTGGGCGACTCACCTTAGTTTATTTCTGATTGTTTGCCACAGAGTTAACTCAAATTGACTAAAGCCTTTGGTCATCCTCCACATTTGATATGCAGCTGCTCTTTAGATAAGACTTGGATTGTAAAGATATTAACAAAGTTTAGTGTCTTTTAAAAGTCGAACACTAAACAAAACAGCTTCAGTGCAAGAGTTTGTTTTATTAATATCATTAACCGTTAACACAGAGAAACAAGGCAAGACAAATAGACCGGCTGGAATCAGATCTTGTTGAAAGCTGCTACGTCGACGCTCTGGATCTGAAACAGCAAGGAGGAGAAACTGTGAACTACAATCTCATGTTCATCACAAGAGGAAGCCAATTTGCTCACTGCAGATTCACTAATGTGCAGTCGAAGGTTTATCAAAATAATTTGAAATAACTGGTATTTTTCAATGGAGCTTTAATGTCACTGTTCATGCTTTTATTTTCAATCTCCACTGTTTAAGATCAGGCTAGATGTAATCCATGAAAGGTTGGAGGGTATTGCATTGCACTGACAAAATGTTAGCGACTACTCAGTGAAACACAATTTAACCACGTGCTAAACGACTGAATCCGAATTAACATCAGTCGCTTCGGGTGAATCTCGGTCCCTGTCGGCACATTGCTGCCTTCATGTGGTCAAATTTGGGTAAAGCGTCTCAATGTTACAAGGCTACAAACACACAGACCCTCTGAGTTTAAGTTAATAACTTTGAACTACAATGTTTGACCTTTGCAGGAGTACTTACATAGTCTTCAAACTTGGTGATTTCTTCCTCCAGCAAGTCTGTTCCCACCTTGTCGTCCTCCACCACACATGCAATCTGGAGCTTCTTGATGCCGTAACCCACAGGAACCAGTTTGGACGTCCCCCATAGCAGCCCGTCAGCCACCACCGAGCGCACACACTCCTCCAGCTTCACCATGTCCGTCTCGTCGTCCCACTAACCACGGCACAGTACAATACAAGCACAGCCATTAGCAAACTTAAATGGACACACACACACACACACGCATGTTTGATTCCACCAATCTTTATCGCCAAAGTGGATTCAGTGCAATTTATATCAGAGCCCCTGTTCCATGTCTGCTACCAGGTGAATCCATAGTTTTAGGCTCCCGTAGGACACGGAGTGTGTAGACTTACAGGTTTGACATCCAATAAGATGGAGGACTTGGCGATGATGCCAGGCTTCTTGGCCTTCTTCTCTGCGTACTCTTTCAACCGCTTTTCTTTGAGTTGCGCCGCCTCTTCATCATCATCGCTGCCAAACAAGTCGATGTCGCTATCTTCCTCCTCGTCTTTCACTGGGACGCTGGTCTTCTGCTGCACAGCAGTGCCCTGAACAGAGGAGAACAGTCGCGTGACACACTGGAGATGGAATACCAGCGATGAGGTGAAGCGGTCTGGATGAGCTCACGTTGGTGTGGGCTGCTGCAGGAGCAGCGGTCACCGCGGCAGGAGACTTCTCCAGAAGAGACACTCGACAATCCAGCTTGGAAAGAGCGGCCCTCAGGTCATCCACAACTAAAGCATGCATGAATAAAAATAAAGAAATGTTTGTGTGGCTTTTTATTTTAAAAATACACAATTTACAAGCAAGTATTTTTCATTCAATTCCTAACATTCTGAATGAGAAACAAGCTTGCATGGCGCTGGCCGAATGTAAAATGATTTCACTAGACAAGAACACTTTAGCTTGCATGCTAGACATGACATTTCTAATGAGTAAATTATTGAGCACAGTTAAAGTCCACCGTGGTTTGGGTACTTGTAACTAACACGGATAGAACCGTCAGTCACCAAACCAGCGTTGGAGAAGGACCCACCTTTGCGTAAGCTGTGGTTCTCCAGCTCCAGGCTCTTGATGCGACAGATGATCTCTCCTTGATCAGCCGCTGCGCTGATGCTCTGCGGAGACCGAAAGCAACGAGTACATTACACACATGTAGGTGGAGGAGAACACCGGCAAGTCTTCAGTTTCTACTTTCTTTGTAACCATCATTCACACTATGAAAGGTCTACGAAACCGTCACTAACATACAACACGTGAAAAAAGACGATTTGGTTGGTTTTGTGTTTGCCGGAAATAATGTAACCGCTTTGCTCATATAATTAAGGGTGCATCACATGACCAACTTGCTTTGTTTACCAGCAATGAAAAAAAAGATTCTTTCACTCAGCTTATCAAATCTCTGCAAACAATGGTGACACAAGCAGTCACGTTCAGCGAACATGAAATAGACGCAGGGGCAGAAATTGGTCTTGAGGAATGAATACAGATGCCCACATCAAGTTACCCGTGTCTTAAAGTGCTGTTGCGGAGGAATAAGGGACGGATCGTGCACAGAACATGTACTTACTCCTGCTAGAGACTTCTGGATGTTCTCCCTGGCTCGGGCAATGTCCTGCAGGATGGTGTTTGACCCGACATCCTTAAATAAAAAAGGGATAGAAACAGTTGTATTCATCCTTTACTTATACAAATGCCATGTGAAATATTTCAATTTAGTGTTGCCGTTTTGTGAATGCGAGCAGTGGATCGACTGCAGCAAGATTCATAATGCAAACTGCTGCTGAAGTCAGATTTCATCAAGACCTGACAAATTCAACATTTTTCTGTACACAGACATGTTCAGTAATGTAATTAGGGTGTAAACAATAAGCTCAACTATATCAACAATCAACGATGGAGCACATTGTTGGTCCTGGTGGAGGATAAACACCAACGATGACGACGTGCTCATCAAACGTGGGAGGAAGAAGCTCAGACGGCGTCTACCTGCGCTGCTTGGGAGCAGCCGCTGGGCCGCTCGTAGAAGCGCCGCTCCGCCTCGTCATAGCGCGGTTTGTCAAACCAGATCTTCTCCGTGGCCAAAAAGTCCATGGAAGTCATGTCGCTACAGAGGAGAGAGAGGGGGGGGGGGGCGAGAGACGGACAGGTGAACAGGACAGAGGTGGTCAGGGATTCTTTGACTTAATAATAGTCATTAGTTGAAATTTACTGCTGTAACTCGTACATATTTCATCTGAACTTCAAACAAAACTATATAAAAAGGAACTTTGGATGAAGTTAAGTTGGCAACAATGATCCATACAAGCTACAGTCATACGGCACAATTTCAAAAAGACGGAAAGAAATAACAAATGAGTGAACAGAGACGGATGAAATAACAAAGGAAAAAGAAGGGAAACCCATGGCAACAGAAAAAGACAATGAGATCTAATGGAGAAGTCCCTCCTCCCTCTGTGGTCATACTTGTCCCTCAGTGGGGCGGTGGAGGCTGCTTCTGGCCTGCGGCCCTTCTTCCCCACCACAGCTCCACTCTCACTGTGACCGTGGAAACGGCTCTCTGCAGCGTCGTACCGCCACTTGTCCAGCCAAACCCGCTCGCTGTCCGGGTGGACAAAGTGGCGGACTCCGGCCGCCGGCGCTTCGGCCTTCTCCGGGACCTCGGATGGCTCCTCCTCCTCCTGAATAGGAAGCAGAGCGTGGAAGACCTCCGCTTTGCCTTGTGGGACCGCCCGTTTTTCCTCCTCCGGCGCCAGTTCGCCATCTTCCTCCCCCTCCTCCTCCTCAACGAGGCTCTGCGGGTGGTCGGTACTCCTGGACGTGGAGGTGCAGCTGGCTCGTTTGGAGGAGTTGTTACCGTAAAGGTTCTGGTAGAAGGCGGCCTCGGCGCGGTCGTACAGCGGCTTCTCCAGCCACACGTCTCTGAGCAGCTCCACCGGGAGGCGGGGCAGCCCGTTAACGGACTGACGATTGGTCGGCGAGACTGATGCCGGCTGGATGACGGGAGTCGCGGGCGTCGGGGCTGAAGACTGATACCCTTCATCCGGCGTCCTGGATGCGCCGGAGCGCTTCGCCGAGGCCGGGAGGTCAAGAGACTTTGGGACGGCCTTCTTTCCCTGGACGGCGTGGTGGCAGGCCGCCGGCTCGCTGTGGCGGCACAGCGATCCCGGGGCCGGCGGGGCCGCAGCAGATTGGGAGTTTTTACCCGGGGCCGCGGGCAACCGGTTCGACTTGGCGGCGCCAACGGAGAAGCTCGCCAACCAGCCCTGGTAGAGGCTCTCGGCCCGCTCGTAGGCGCTGCGATCCAACCAAACGCTGGCACACTCGGACTGCAGGCCCATCAGCTCGGCGGGGGGGCCGGTCCTTTTGTCTGGCTTCTCTTCATCCTTGATCTTCACGTCACCCTTCTCGTCGGGACGGCCGGCGGCGGCGTTGGACGAGCGTTTCTTGCGGCGGCGGCTCTTCCCGCTGCGCTTTCCTTCTCCGTTCAGGTTGCTGCTCTCCGGGGACGAGGACGCGCCCTCCCCGTTTCTCTGAGGGCACTCGGCCTTGCTCTTGCAGCCCGGCGCTGCGTTGGCAGAGCGGTCCACCTGACCGCGACTGGGAGGCTGATCGGGCTCCGGCCGATCCAGTGCAGAGCACTGGGGGATCTTCGTAGTCATCATCTTTGATCCGTTGCAGCGGAAATGGAGAGACACAGACTGCTGCATTAGTTAGAGAGACGCAGGGACACGCAAAAGGGACTGATTGGACAGACTCAGCGCTGCAAAACGGTTTATTCTTTACAGAGTTGTACAGAACAGAGTCTATAAATCAGTCCCGGGGAAAAGAGAGGAGCATGCAGGAGAATAGAGGAAACCCATGCAGATGAGCTACAGAGCTTTAGTGAATGGAATCTACTCCTTCTGGATGTCAAAGGGTCTTTAGCTTCTGCTGCGCACTTGGTGGATGATAAACTGGTGCTGCTGCATCTCGTAGAGCTTTGCTCCCATCACTTAACCAGCAAGTGGAAGAGAATGAACACCGTTACTGTTCATGCTGTGCAGTCGAAACGCCAGCTGGATGTTACAGCCGAAAAGACTAAATGTTAGTCCAAAAAGTTTTACACAAGTAATTCACTTTTGTGAATAAAACACTGAAAAGCAAACAGTGCTTATTAGAACAAGACTTGGGGACGATCTCATTCAAGTATGTCCAACTTCTAATTGCTGCGCATGCTGAACCAACACTTTAACTTTAAGCCAGTTTCTGGTGGTAAAATGCTCCAACTAGAGAAACAAGAGACTTAATAAACAAATCACCGTTGACACGGTGACATGAGAGCATGCAAAAAAGAATCCAAGGCCAAATATTAACGAGGCATCAAATTAAGAAAAAGGATTTAAATCCCACTGCGCGATGAATCTGTGAAAGAAACACATGTCCATGCAAGCTAATGATCTGCTAACAAATCACACATCGTGCAAGCCAATGCCGTTCTGAGACAATACAGGAAATGCATCCCCTTAATGTTTCGCCACAAGGTTGTGCTACTAATCGATGAACATTTTTTTGGGGATTTTTGCAACATTTTGGAAAGGCATTTCCTGCTTAAAGGAATACTTCACCCTCAAAATGCATGTAGTATTCCTTTAAATGTTTCATAGGAAATATTATCCAGGCTCTCAACTCACCTTCCTGGACAAAAGTGTTGAGCTTAAACTAGTATTCAACGTGAAATGCTCAACGCGTTCTTTTCATCCAGTTAACCGCAAGCAATTGAGAAAGAAATTGAACAATCACCATCTTGCGAAACTACGGCACGTCAACAAAAAGGTTGAACTCTGAATAAAACAGAACTCCAACCAGGTAAAGTTCAAATCCATCAGCAATACTCACATGTCAAATTCTGAATGCAAGATGGAGGGAGAGAAGCGACGGGTTAAGTAAGTCTTTAAATAAATTCCTCGGCATGAAACGCTGCCTCCTCAACTGTAGTCTTGGATGACGAATATGGAAAATGCTTGGCTTATTACTCGCTAAATCTGAGACTCCAATATTGAGCAATAAGATAACGGGAGGAATTGGATTCCTCCCAGAGCTTTACCCTCCCTTCATCTGCTTCTCTCCTGCTTGGACTTTTGTGTGGCAGTACGGACAACTTCATTACACAGAGATCTTAAAAAACAAAAAAAGTCATATCGAATAAACACTTGTCTTTATATCCTTTGATAATTTGGAAACATTTTTTGGTGTGTCATTTGGTCCAAGTAGCTACCAGACAGCCGGTCGGTGTTTGTGGGAATAACTTTAAATAAACCTGCGTTAAGCTAAACGAAGGAGCATCTCCCACAGTGTCGCTCAACCACACGTTTCAAATGGTGTATTGACAACAATGGATCTCCATGGCACACGTCACACTGGGTGACTATACCGCAACTAGGATGGAGAAAGTCTTTACATCGATGATCATAAATACAGGAACACGTTTAGAGTCTGAGATTTCCCCTCTATCCAAATCAGTGCCGTAAAAACAGTGAAATACCTACAGGGACAACTCATTATTTGAGGGTCAACTCTTAATAACCAAATGTTAAGTGGCTGAAGATCTCAATTAGCATTTAGTCCACTCGCACTGTTTAAAGCAATGATGCATTGAGTTACAATGAGGTCAATTGAAGGGTCTGGTTCAGTGCTTTGCTCAAGGACTCCTCAGCAAGGATAGATCCAATTGATGCAACGGTACTCTGTTATATACATTTACCTGAGGGTTTGAATACAATGACCACGGCCTCTTCCCAGGATTAACGTAACGTAAACGTCATTTAACCAAAATCTAATTTGGGTTTTTAAACAGCCGAAATTCATTAAGTAAGGTCTGAAGACCGAACAGCCGAAAACTAGCACACCCTTTAACTATACGTCACTTTATGTTATCATATTATTTTAAATCAAGAAAAACCTGTCGTGCGTTTAACGTTAACACGCTAGCATCACCCGGAGGTGTGCCATGCTAACCTTAACATGAGCTAACGACGTTAGCCACCTCGTCTTGTTAGGGGTCCCCACGTTATGCGACACTGTCAGTGGGTGGTTGGCCTCAAAGAGGACACATAAACAACTGTGCCTGCGGCACCGAAACCCGTATTAGTCAATAAAACGTTCGGGTAAGATGTCAATGTAGAGGAGCGGCCACTAAACCCGACGTGGCAACCGTCCTGGTCCGCGTTAGCATTATCCGGCTAGCTAGCCCCGTGCTAACACACGCAGAGTCCGCCGTGGCTGCTACACCGCTAAATATTCATTCATTCCTGAAAGCGTCTCACACGTGAATGGTGCCATTAATCCCCAGACTGGATAGTCGACTGTCAGTCGGCGTTAACGTTACTTACTGCTGTGCTCGTTTGTCTCGTCGGGTTGGGACCAGGCCGGCGGATAAAAACGCGTGTTTCTCAAACCAGTGAGTGACAACGAGGAGGAAGCAAAGGAAGCAAGGAGCGACAATGAGTGCGTGTGATCCCAGGATGTGGGAGGGAGGGAGGAAGCATGAATCATTAATGTTTCACAATACGTCCCGTGCATTGTTAACACCCGATCCTCAAAATAAGGTTGACTAGAAATAGTATTAATAGGGTGAAGCATGTTACAGAAGACCGATGAGACCTTAATTTAAATGACCACGCAACCTTTGTCCCAGTGAGACGAGCCTCGCTGTGTTGGTTCTGACATGTGTGCTCTCATTTCTTCTCATCCGAAACCGGCTGGTGAAGTGGCAAAATAAAGACCTTTATCGCTGTGGGGGAGGAATAACTTTAAACTGTTTTTAAAGTAAAAAAAATACATAAATATTATTATACAAATAAAATATATAAATAAATAAATGTATTATCATTATAATAAAAATAATGATGTATATGTGTATATCACTTAAATGTTTCAGCTGTTAAATTTGAAGCTAATTTAATTTTTATGTATATATATATATATATATATATATATATATATATATAATATAATATATATACACACACACACATCTGTAGTGGAATTTATAAAATAAATAAATAAGATAATCTGAATCTGCAAAGTAGTAACTCATTTAGATTACCGTAGTGGTCAAAATATATAACACTGGCTTCTAAAATGTTGGGTAGTAAACTTTTAACGCTGCATAAGTGTACAGCATTATCCCAAAATGGTACCAGATAAAGCAAGCATTTGGCCTAGGACACTTTATAAAAAACATTGAACACACTTGGAATCAAGCATCACGTTTTTCTCAACTTTGTAACATACACAAAGCTAGAAACTGGTACACGTGGGACAGATGCACAGCCAGGCTCACTGTGGAATTAATCACAAGTAAAGGTCTACTTTATGCTTCATTAACACATTTTTCTTCCATTCTGAACTCCCAAATTATGGCAGGCAATGCATTACTAGATCTTCTTGGATATGTTACTATGTCAGTTTGATTAACGCCTGATAGAAGTGCATGAGCCTCTCTGTATTACTCCACAACATCACTGTGCCTTCATGGGATAACGTGGCCCTCAATAAGAACATACTGTCCCAGTAGTGTTTACCATCTCCAAAATTAGATTTTAGTCCCACCTTACTTGCATTAGATGGAAGATTATTAATGCACACGCTAAAGTACCCATTCTCTCAAATGAAGGCCCAAGGTCATGTTCAAATATTTTACTTGTCAGTGTCAACAATTTAGCCAACCTTTTCTTCATAAAGACATTACAGATGAAATGAGGAAGTGTGAACTGCACTTGTTTTAACAAAATTTAAAACAACAACGTGACAAGTCCTGCTCTGTCTTTGTTTTCCTTCAGGACCTCGAGCCCAAAAGTCAGCTTGTTGTAAGGCTACAATCAGGTCCATTGAGTGTAGTTAGTAATAGTTATTAAAAGGCAAACCGCAGAAGTGTCATTTCCTGGATCCTGCTGCTGACTTTTGGCCCAGCTCTCTGGCTCTCTCAGTGGCAGCTTCCACAGCGCTCATGGTGGATGCCCTCAGACCACCCTGTTCCAGGGTGTGCAGCCCGTAGATGGTTGTCCCCCCTGGGGTGCAGACCTCAGAGCGCAGCTGAGCCGGATGCTTCCCAGACTCACGCAACAGTCTCCCAGCACCCTGCAACAGACAACGGTAGTGCAACTTTAAATATTGTGCTGGCCAACATATTACACGGTATTGTTACAAGCATCAAATAGCACAGTGAAACTGACCAGGACGGTTTGGGATGCGATGCTGTGTGCCAGAGCACTTGGCATACCCATTTTAACAGCTCCTTCTGCCAGCGCTTCAGCAAAGAGATACACCTGCAGAGAGGGATCACGTGCAACACAATCAAAGATGCTGCAAATATTAAAACACACACACGTGTTGATGTTGTGTATTACTGCAGCGTAAACTCTTCATTCAACATCATGTCAGCTTATCTCTGACCATGTACAGAGTCTATGTCCCCTGTCTGGGCGCCGCTCACATCACCGCATGCAGCATCTAACAGCAAACAGAAATAATGCGTTTCGGAGCTCAGGGGTTGCGTTGTGCCACGAAGGAAACCTGTGGCATGTTTTAAGTGAATCACCAAGCAATTACACAATCACAAATACTTCCTTCCAAACAAAACCACAAACTCCTGGGACACTCACAAAAGCGACGCCGCTCCCGCTCAGTCCGGTGTGGATGTCAATCCAGGCCTCGGGCCCCTCCTCCACCAAACCGCAGCGGTGCAGCAGAGAACGAAGCAGAGCTCCATCCTCCTGCTTTGCATGGGACCCCCGTGAAAACAGCAGCGCCCCCTCCTGAACCAAACATGGGAGATTTGGCATGAGCCTGATGGCAACTGAATTTGCTGGCAGGAGCTGGGAATTATAAAGAGAGAAAAAAAAACGTATTATTTAACTTGATACCAGCGCAAAACCACAATTCTGTTTTTGAGAAACTGTGACACCAGACACGCTCACCTGCTCCAACGTTGCTAGTGTAACGCCTGCTGCAACAGACACGATAATGTGTCGGCCCGTTACGTGCACCGAGATCTCATTGAGAACTGGTGCGACCAGGTGAGGCTTGACCGCTACAAAGACCACGTCTGACCCGGACACCACCTCTGTGTTGGAGTGAGTGACGGTCACGCCGAGCTCCTGGAAGCCAAAGGGAGGGATGTTATGGACCCATGTGTCCACCAGCATGTACAGAGTGAACAGGTTCAACAGTTCAACTTGTTTTACATGAGAAAGAAAATAAGCCACAGCATGCAAACGGGACCCTCCGCGTTGAAATAAACGTTAGGGTGGAGTATTTCTGCATCACGTTCTCGATTCCACATGAATTTAATTAAAAACTAAAACGGGGCTCTTCATGTCAGCTAGAAGCTATAGCTATTAGGTGCATACATGCCACTCTGTGATGCAATAAGTCAGCTTAGCCAAAAAGCAAATGCTTGGTCAAATAAATGTTAACTTGACTGAAAATTAATTGGATGCTATGTTAAAATGCTAACAGATTTCCATGAAAAAAACATCTGGTTCTAGCTTTTCCAGCATAAAGAGTTGCTGCTTTTCTGTGATTTCATTGTAAACCGGATATATTTTGATGATGGACTCAATATGGACGAGCTAACTTAACATGTCACCTCGTGCTCTTGGGAAATGAGACGGGCTGTGATGATAGTGAACTAGATATCTTTGGTTTTTGGCCTGTTGGTCAAATTAAACAAATCATTTTGGCATGATACAGATTAGAACTGTAATCTTTCACTTTATAGACAAGTATTTATAAAGACTATAACTGGCAGATGAATCAATGATTGGAAGTCTATTAACTGAATAAAGCTTTATTTTAAGACATATCTAGATTTTGTTTTGATGTTGTAAAAACATGAGACACTGTTGATGTAAATCTATTTGATAGCAGATCAACAGAATAGTTCGTTCTATTAACTCGTCCCCACAAGTCACCAGCTTGTGATATACTGCGTAATCTGCAAAAAGAAAACATGACACCCGCAGGACCAAGCAGCGGATCAGAACCGGTAAAGGAGGCAAAAAGTACCTGAAAGCGGCCGAGGTTCCTGGAGGAGGGTGCGCTCACTTTGACGTTTACAGGAAGAACATTTCCTACGACGGGGAACACACTTGTTAACTTGATTTAAAAGCTCGGTCTAATCCATTCTCTCGCCCTCGCTCTCCTCACCAGACAAGATGCCCTTTGCGATGCCGAAGGCCATGTTCCCTGCGCCGATGAAACCAATCTTCAGCGGGGAGTCGATCTCTGGGTCCATTTTGATCTGAAGAGAAGGACGGAAAAAAATCAGGTGGGGAAATTGGCGACGTGGTTGAAGTATTTCCTAAAATGTATGCGTGCCAATCACAGGATAACCTGTAACTCAATGCAATCATGACATTTCCCACAATGAGAATGGTATCACACACTATCACAGGTACACCAAAAATCCGTAATGAGTTAAATTGTACTACATCATTAATTGCTAATTAAATTTTAGTGTCAGTATTATGATGATTTGAAAATACCAGTAGTAGATGTGTGATCATCATATCATAAGGCCAGAAGTGACCACTGTTCTCAATGCATCAACACTACGCAGTAACACAGATGATTTTTACTTAAATCGCCTGTGTTCACATGCACACAAGAAACCGGATAACGGAGCAAAATCAAGTGACATGTATTTGACCTCGATTTGATCACCTGTTTAAATAATGGGATAAACCACTATTGTTGTGCATTCATTCCGTTTTAGGGAAGCTTTTCCTTTCTATTCTACTATAAGTCACATCTCTACGGCATCACCTGAAAGATTCAAAGGGATCCCATGAAAGTAAATGACCTCCCTAAAGCTGTAAAGCGCTCATCCACGTAGGATTCCCTGCAGGACTTTACTATTTGGGTGCATTGCTTTTAATGTGGTAAATGACTTGATGTCAGCTGTTCCCAACCGGCGCAGAGTCGGGTAATGAATGCATGCATCTACACAACACACGTATGGCTTTGAAATCACGGCTATGATCCGCTGAGAAGATGACGTCGCATCCGCGGCATCGCCCCTACAATAAGATCCGGGTTCCGGACGGACTTGTCCGGGCAGGACCGCGGCCAGTGCAGCATCGACGCGTCTCCGTCCGAGTCCTCCGTCACTTCGTCATCCCGGTCACAGCGGACTCCAGCCGCGAGCAGTGGGTGTCTGGACTCCATGATGGCGATCATGGTCTTCTCGTAACGCCACCAGCCCTGTATTTTGGTCGGAGCCGGAGATTCGGGTTCTCTTTTGCACTTGTAATACGCACTTTTGAGAAGTTTCCAGCGAAACTTCAACTGGTCCACAGATCTGTGATAGCCGGCGGCCGTCATCCTCCGGTGGGCCACCTTGAAGAGCTTGTTATTCCTCACTTTCCTGCCGTCCAAGCACTTCTTCATGTCCAGCTCCTTGAGGATTTCTAAAAATAACTCTGTCTCCTTCACGTCCCAGTTCTGCTTCTTGATACCAGACTCGTCCATTGTTGTTGCACTTCAGCCCAGCGGGCTCGAAGCTGGCAGAATCGCACGCAGCGAGGATGCTAATTAGCTGCTAGCATGTCTGATGCGGTGCTGTTGCCGGCATGCATTTTTTGGCAATAGCTTAAGGGTCGTAAAAAGGGCTCGATAAAATGTTTAAATCATTTATCTAAAGAAAACAACAATAGCAGAACGCGAGCCCCGATGCAACACGTGACGTTAACAACGACATAATCCACCACGGATACAATACAATGCGTTACTTGCTGACTGGACAACCATAAAATAACACGGAGTTACATAAACGCGATGTTGTGAATAACACCGGCTGACACCAACACGGACTCTGGGGTATTTATTCACCTGTAGTTTTTCCAAATGGCCGACGTATAGCAAATATCAAGCTTGATATAACTTTCTCCGGGGCCGTTAGCACCGGGAACATCCGGGCTCGTTTTTCACTCCTGCGCTGCTGCACCAGGTGGGCGGAGACTCCGCCACCCAAATCTTGCGTACGCCGTGTCCGCCCGTCCCCAAAATGAGTCTAATCTCATTGGCTGCTTCGTTGTCTTCATCCATCCACGAGGTGTGCGGTGCGGCGATTGCCCGAAAACATCAGCTCTCATTTCGATCAGCTGTGAGAGGGAGGAGAGGGAGACAGCAGCGTCAAGCAGCTGCCAGGTTTAAGAGCAGGTACACGATCTAGCAATGTTTCAGGCGTGCCTCTAATCCAGCGTGCAACGCAAGGTAATTGATTATATATCTATATTAAATTAAAATTATTTTACTCGCATATGGCACACATTTGATAACATTTATGTTTGCATATTGAAGAAGGAATTGCGACGTGCTCCCCGGTACTTCAAACAAGACGGACATGTTGATTTAAAAAGTATATTTTAAGTTATTTTGATTTTTTAAATCTGTTTATTTCCCGTTTTAGATCTAGATTTGTGTACGCGTGTGTTACCGTGGCCCTCACAGCAGGTGTTGTATTGGCGCACCGGCAGACATGCCCGGGCAAAGCCTGTGTGTGGTCCTCATTCTGGATGAAAGGTCTGATTGTTGTCGGCACTCCTGCAATTGGGCTCATTCTGCATGGCCTCGCAAGATCACGTGCATGCATGCATACAATACGAACATTTAAACTGCATCTACAAAGTTGCACATTCATTGTCAATCCTTCAAACACATTTGCCTGGTTTCTGCCGCCATCTGGCGACCTTCTTAAAATGTGACGTAGAGGCTTTTCCCTGAAATGTGACATTGCAACCACCTCCACAAGTTAAAGCTGAATATAAACTTAATTGCCTGTGATATGTTGCAGAGACTTTTCTGAAAAGCTAGTTAATAACTATATCAAGTAATTGGATATGGCCTAAGGAGTAAAATGACAGAAATCAACTACTAAAGTTCAACAAACACTACAACGTTCCGATGAGTTGTTTGGAGGCACTTAATCTTTAATTTCTCTCAAGAAAGTGTAATAAGAAGGATGAGTCATTTTGTGAAATGAACTATTTGCAGTAAGGGTTAAAGAAAAAGCTTGCATGAGGAATTGGGCGAAATAGCTCCACAGTTGCATTAACTACTAAAAACATTTCCATAATTAAAATGGTCTTAATACTACAATTAGTTCAACTTAAAGGAAAATTACATTCGTACAAGTTGTATGAACAGAAATACAAATGAATCCCGGACTACACGTTACTTTTTTTTATTTTGTGCTGTGGCCATCTCTTGCCATTCAAGGCTGACATTAATGGCTCCTTCTCCTTGTGATCCGCTGCAGACATGTGCCGTCTCCCGATCCCCCACCTGTACGTCCTGCTGATGTGCATGCTGGCCTGTCACTGTCCTGCAGTCAACGGGTTGTTTGAGTGGCTCAAAGGAAAGGAGACTCCTCCAGCAGCAGCAGCAGCAGCACCACCACCACCAGCAGAAGTCCCAACACTACTTGCTAAGGATGCCCGGTTTGAGATGAAGACCCGTCGACGAGGGTTTTTTGGCCCGAGTCGAAGCAGATGGAGCTGAGCCCGTTGGACAGCTGCCATTACAGGGTAAACAAATGGAAACACCGCTGTGTAGTTGCTGGAGGTTTTCATTGAATGGCGTCAGTACACCTCCACTGGTTTGCCCCGTATTTTTTGGATTACCCGCTGTGCTCTTAGGTGG